GTGTTTAAATTATCCGATACAATTATACTTTTAATTTAGATTAATTGCTCGAGTACACGGACAGTAAAATGGTGGTTTAATTTGGTATTCCAAATATTCACAGGAATTCTAAAGTCGATGAGAAATCTCGAACTACGTCATTCATCAACCAGGTATAAATATATCAAATAAACTGCTGTGCGTGAAAGGAATCACAAATCCGGAGCAACGGATACTAAACCTTGCATTTGAATGCTAAAACACACAAACGTGCATTTACTTACAATACGTTGGATTTTTTGCCTCGATTCACAAATAAGTGTAAAAGGGTGAATGTGCGACTGGCTAGATTATCTGACGAGGTGAGCTCAACCATCTGGGGGCAATAATAGGTGGTAAAAATCCAACTCTTGGGTATTATATTGCTTCCAGATGTAGCTACCAGATGCAACAGATGATGCCATAAACTGCAAAATCTCGGATTCTGACTGAAATTGTTTGCTCGTTACAAAGGTGACAGAAAATCATATGCAGCGATTACAAGTGGAAATAAAAAAAAGAACTTAAAACACTGCAGCATTTCAATGTGAATTATACAACAAACGCAGATCTATTTCTTCAGCTGGTTCAGAGGTTCTACAGTAATAATAATGTATTTTTGGTGCTTCCTACAGTCTAACTAAAATATATATAATTACACCTAAATACTGGCCTTAGTGGAAAAGCCAGGTTTACTACCGTTTTTTGTACACTACATTTGGTTTGCGTGAAGGTTAATGTGGTCAATTTACATATACAGTCTTCGACCTTCCCTCCCAGCAGCACTATGGCTGTACCTACATAATGACCACAGTAGTTCAAGAAGACGGCTCACTACCACCTCCAGATAAATTAGGATGGGCAATAAATGCTGGCTTAGCCTGCAACGCCTACATCCCGGGAAATAAAATCAAAAAAGTACCAATAGTTCCAAAGAATGGTACGGCGTGGTCTTTAGCGATTATACCTAGAGGGCTGCAAAGCGGAGTTTTGTAGTTTTGGAGAATAAAGACAATTTCTAACATATTTACAAAAATAACAGTTTGCTTGGCCCACAAACGTCATGACCAAGTTTAGTATAGATACCATGTCGATATTTAATCGTATTTACTATCCAACTTTGCCACTGATAGGGTAGATCGGATTGTGGACTGTGGCCGGTTGCTCTTGAAGTTGTCCCAATACTTTCATAGGGTATTTAAATCAACGAATCGTAGGTGCGTGTAATGTTCTCATGAAAATCGACTGGGTTTTTTTTGGCGTCCAACGTTTGAAACAGCCCCCAAAAATAAGGATTCTGTTTCATTGGGAATTTGTGACCTGCCTGTCACGCCAAGAGAAGATCGTTCAGTCTAGAATTTACCATGGAGTTAGCCCGGTTCAGATCCACGCAGTGTGTCCCCTCCTCATATTCTGGCGCTCTGACCGAAGGGCAATCTACTTCTGCGATTATTCAGTTTTTGTTTGGTTTACAGGGGGTCGCAGTTTTTTTTTTAACTAGGCAGCAAATTCTAATGATGAGGGACTAATGAAAATGGAATATTTCATCAAATCAAAATATATCATTTATTAATATTTTAAAAAGTTAGGGTGAAATGGAAATCGAGATATGAGAACATGATTTCGAGGCGTAGAGAAACCGTAGATGTCTAGTTGGGACATCGGTAGTTTCAAGGTATTTGTTTACATTACATCTAAACAGACGCGGAAGGCGAGTGGTCAGCGGGTCAGTCGCCATTGAGCAAGGAACCTTACGTACTTCAACAGGGAGTTTCACAGCGCCACTAAACAAATAATACTTACGAAGCTGGGAACAGCAACACATTTCCAAATAACGGAAACGCGTAGAATCGATATATTAGCAAGGGAAATCGGCGCGCCAGCTCGCAATCCACGATCGTTTTACTTAAACTGGACCTTCCGACAGATGCGCAGACCGTGCTCACACAAGTCAGCGAAACAGACAAAAGGGAATAGGCCGTCACTACTGTTGCCACTTCCACCTCAACCAACTCTTCTCAGTAGAGGAAACTCTGCATTCATGCAGCGTTTTAAATAGTTCAAAGAAAAGTTAATTTGCTGAACGAAGGTGCATCTACTCCAGGAGGCGCTCAGTAATTGTATAAATGGATATTTTAAAAAATACATCGTATGTGCGTACGCGCTTACAGTTCCAGAATACACGTCTTATGTTGTGTCACGCTGAGATTGTGAGACGCGCACACGAGATGGTCATGCATGCTAACACCTCCCGCGCTATATCCGTATCATGAAATTCTCCGCCAACAACTTTCAGTCTCTGTTCACAGGGTTGAGGGCTGGGCCTGCCCATCAAAACCTAAACCAGGCTCTGGTTTACTTGCCCTCAATTTTTTCCTCTCTCTCTCTGCGATGATCATTCTCTCCTCCCTGAGCGTGCAGGGAGCCGGCCACTGCTGTCTAGACCAATCGATCACTTAGACAGAGACATAGAAATACGGTCAGAAGCCTTCAGTCAGGCAAAGCTGGTAGCTGCCACACGGGTACTTGTCACCTTGCAGGTAACCAGCTAGAACTAGAACAACCTTCACCATTAAACCTCAGCTGAAAGGCACATTCTTACAGTCTGAAGTGACTAGTAACATATTAGGCGGACGATGCACACTTCAAGCAGTAAAAGACACACGTTAGTTAAAAGCTGCTCTCGCAATAATCTCAAAGGCACAGTTCAAAAATAAATCATCCGTCAGTGTGACCCATAAGGTTCAACTCACTAGCTCGGAATAACTTGGTAGGCTGTAGTTATTTGCAATATATACACACTGGGAACTAATTCCCCCCGCCGCCTTTAAACGATCAGTTAACTCCCTTTAATAAAACGCTTTCATCTACTCAGTTGCTGTGCCGTATAAGGGACACGATGATTTTTAAAAATAAACGATTCCGTCCTGATTCATTGTACCTGTGCTGATTTTTACAACGTAGATAAATTAATTAAAAGCATTTGGATAAACTCGGACCGGAATTCTGTGAATCAATCCTCGGCCTCGCCGGGTTGGGAGAGGAGTTGGTGTGGGGTGGTTTCTAGGTTTGGCTTTCCGCGATTAGCCTTCGGGGTGGAACTGGCTCCGCGTTCTCTCGTACGATCCGGAGACTGAGCGAAATGCGATGCGAAAAGCCGCAGTTACTGTGCGGGCAATGTCTACAGCACTTTGTAAATCTTCTCAACAAAAAGTGACGTTCCCAAGTCAGGGCCAAGCCGCTCCAGATGAATGATCGGTGTGGTTTCAAAAAAGGCCGATTGGATCAGATCCTGCACCAGACCCTCGAAGTTGTTAAGCACGGGAGCAGCAGGATCGTGCTCGAATAGTCCGAGTCTCGAAACTTGCCCTCAACATTCAGGCGAGACGCGCACATATACACCGAGAGCCGAGCTAACGTGGAAAGAACGAGGAGCCAATCTTCCTGAAAACGGAGAAATGGGTTGTAGATAGCCCGCTCCTGGGTAAGAGAGAAATCACCACCAGACAGTCTCCGCGTCCTTACAAACGCTTTACTAACCAGAAAAGCCCCGTCGAAAAACCACTCCCTTCACACACGCACACAAAAAATCACCCCTTACCTGATTGCAGGCTCTCGGCAGAATTTCACCAGCCTCTTGTTCTGGTGCTGACCTCGTCTTTAATGCATCCACGTGCCTTTTCAGGTTTTTTTTAATAGCCAAGCCAGAGAGAGACTTCTTTCATCTGAGCGGATCAGACGTGTGCTCACAGATCGCCCCCAAAAAGTCCGGATATCCACCACACACACACACACACACACACAGAGCGAGAGCAATCCGCCGCCGGTTCACAGTAAAAGGTGCGAGCAGGGCAGGCCTGCCCCCCGCCCTCCCAGCGTTGCCGGCTTTTCCCCCTCGGTTTGTAGCAGCGGCTCTCAGTGTACAGGTGGCGGGCGGCTGCGAGTCTCAGGCACGGCAAGACTCCGCAGCGCCATGTTGGTTCCTCACCACATAGAGAGCGGCGGAACCATCCAGTCTGTGGGCTCTCTCTCTCAGACTCTGCTCGCCCCACATCCCCTGCCTTGTGGAAAACCTCAGGCTGCTGCCTGCTGGAAGAAGAGGGAGTGGGGAGGGAGGGGGTGGGTTAGTGGTGGTGGTGGTAGTGGCGGTGTTTACAGAGAAGAAGCCTTCTGGCAGATCGCTGGAGCAGATGTGCTTGAGCGTCTGCACAGAGCGAACGGATTTTTTTAAATTTCCGATCCAGCCCTTAGCGTGCAGCTCCCCTCCGAGCCTGGAAAAAATCTCTACCCATAAGGCCAGTCGTTAACTTCAATTACCATAAACATCAACCTTTAGCTCACAACCCCAAGACCAAACCCTCCAACATACACTCCCCCCCTCCCCCCCAAACAACCTCCGCCATTCACAATCCGCAGACACCGCGGAACGCCGACCTGCTTCATTCCGGCTGGGTATTTTTTAACCGGAACATAGAGGGGGGGAATTCCTAGTCTTAATTAGAGCATAGGGCGGAATCCCGGGAGAGAGAGAGAGAGAAACAGCGAGGGCGAGATAAAACTTTCAAGCGTCCGCTTCACTCGGCTCCTGCCTGCTGTTCACTGCGTTCCTGAACTACGTGGTGAGAATCACACTCACGTTCACATACACACTACATCCTCCAGGTTAGCGGGTGGTCTGCACCAGGAGGAGTGGAGTTCGGGGGTTTGTTCTCTCCTCTGGTTATTGCCCCCGACGAGCAATTTTATGTTCAATTGCTAACCTCGATGTTTCCACCTTATCTGCACAAACAGAAATGAAGGTATTTTTTCCGCAGACGAAGTGCTAACATTCCATTCCCCCCCCCAACTTAATGAAAAAAACATCGGAATCTAACCAGAAAAGCTCACAGACTAAATTTCACGTCGAATAAAATGTCTTCAATGTTTCGATTACATTAATTTACAGGGGGTCAGCCTTCATTTTTATCATTTCCACAGCTTTCAGCAGGGAGTCTTCGAAACTTATTTATTTACCTGTACACTGAAGAAACGTCACCTTTACCTCCCAAAAATAGACACAAGGTGCAATTTGAAAATTACAGCATAGTGCGAATAGGTAGCTCATGCACTTCAGAATACAAAATAAGCTTTCCCAGGTAAAAGATTGCAAGCAGAAATGACGAAAGATGCAATCACATCGTTGATGCACGGGCGCGCGCGCACACACACACAGTTCACTTTGAAGGGGCTTTGCGGAGCTCAAGGAACGCTGCCTTCACCAGTCTCTTGGGAGTTGACCCACAGGTCAGGACGCGGTGGGCACGTCTCGCGCGGGAAATCTTCACTCTCACACTCACCGTACACCTATTATACAATGAAGCACACACTCTAAACATCTCAGCACACATTGTGTGCTGTGTGTACAATGTGTACTGAGAGGTTTACAGAGTGTGTGCTTCAGTGTATAATAAGTGTATGGTGAGTGTGTTGTGTGTGTACAATGAGTGCACAGTGTGTGCTGGGAGTGTACAATGAGTGCAGAGTGTGCACCGTGTGTGCCGACAGTGTGAGTGTACAGAGTGTGTGTACAATGTGTGCTGTGAGTGTGTGCTGGAGGAGTATACTAAGTGTGCGTTGGGTGTACACTCACTGTAGACTCACAGCACAAACTCATTGTACACAACATAAACTCACCACACTCCCCCAGGACACACAAACATACACACACACAGCACACTCCCGCAGTGTGCGCGCACGCACACACCCTCGCCCAGCATATACACACAGCACTCTGCCAGCACATACACACACACAGACCACACACCCCCAGCACACACACACCCTCCCCCAGCACACAAAAACACACACCCTCGCCCAGCATACACACCCACCACACTCACTGAGCAAAACCCACACATACACACACCACACTCCCCCAGGACACACACACACACACACACTCTCCCTGCACACACACACACATACACACATGACACTCCCCCCACGACGAGCACACACACCACACAACTGCAGCATGCACACACACATGCACACCAAACTCCGGCAGTACGCATACACACAGACACATGCACACCACACTCCCCCAGTGTGCATGCACACACACACACCACACTCCTCCACAATGCACACACACACACCACATTCTCCCAGCACACGCATACTCCCCATGCACGTGTGCACACAACACACTCCCCAGCACGCACACACTCCCCCTGCACACACACACCACATGCACACACACACTCCCATGCACACACACCACACACCCCCATGACGTGCACACATACACACACCACACTCTCCCTGCGCGCGCACACACAGAGACACACACCACATAACCGCAGCACACACACACATGCACACCAAACTCCGAAAGCACGCATACACACACAGACACACACACACGCACACCACACTCCCCCAGTGCGCGCGCGCGCACACACACACACACTTCCCCTGCACATACACACAGACACACACCCACAGCATGCACACACACGCACACGCACACCATACTCCCCCAGCACATGCACACACCACTCCCACTTCCCACACACATACACACACTCCCCCAGCACACACAAAAACAAAGCACTCTCCCACAGTGCACATACACACACACACACCGCATTTCCCCACGATGCACACACACCACTGCCCCTGCACATACACACGCCACACTCCCAGACGACGTGTGCACACACACACACACACTCACCACACACACCCAGCACCCACACACACACACCACTCTCCAACAGCACGCGCGCACACACACCACTCTTCCACAGCACACGCGCACACACACACCACTCTTCCACAGCACGCGCGCACACACACACCACTCTCCCACAGCACGCACGCACACACACACCACTCTCTCACAGCGCGCGCGCGCACACACACCACTCTCTCACAGCACACACACACCACTCTCCCACAGCGCGCGCGCACATACCACTCTCCCACAGCGCGCACACACATACCACTCTCCCACAGCGCGCACACACATACCACTCTCCCACAGCGCGCACACACAACTCTCTCCCATAGCACACACACACGCACACACCATTCTCCCACAGTGCACGCACACACACACCACTCTCCCCCAGCACATACACACACCACTTTCCCACAGTGCGCACACACATACCACTCTCCCACAGCGCGCACACACACCTCTCTCCCATAGCACGCACACACCACTCTCCCACAGCACACGCACACACACACCACTCTCCCACAGCACACACACACCACTCTCCCACAGCGCGCGCGCACGCGCACACACACACACTTCCCCTGCACATACACACAGACACACACCCGCAGCATGCACACACACACAC